ATTGTTTTTGTCTTTTTCTTTTATCTTTTTTTATGTGTTAACCTGGACCTTAACAATGTAAGTTGCGCAGTAGGAGCTATCATGACACCAGCCTTAATTAAATGCCATAGCTTCCAAGGATCGGGTAAATAGGTAAGATGGACGCCTAATGGATAAATGGTAAATGGACCCTGTAATGTGATATAGGCGCCGTTCTTAGTCTTCCGACCCACTCAGAAGCGCTCTTCTACAACTCACATGCAGCAGTTCACCCTTGTCACACACATTCACACAGTGAATGCAAAGTCCAGGTCGAGGAAGAACACTACACTCATTGCCCGAACACCTGTCAACACCGATTCGCTATGCTGGGGTTCCAGGTATGCTTGGCTCGATGGAGTATGGCGACCATGTTGATCTGTGTTGGGCTGGTAGAGGAAAGCTGATTCCCTGTCAAACTCGGTGCCAGTGAGCATCTGTTAATCTTTTAATTTCATAAAGTTATCATCCTCAAAAAAACTGATGCAAACGTGCTGGGTGTTAATTCTTTGTTGTGAACCAAATACATTTGTTTTTAGGGTTTAGGGTTAGGGTTAGTGTTAGAGTGAGAGCTGGAGCTCTAATGGTCTTTGAAAGCAGCTAAACGTGGAGTAAAGCCAGCGTACTTAACACATGCAAGGCTGGCAACACCATTAATGGGAAAAGTTCCTATCGTACAAGATTATTTTACATTTGAATCCGGTTTGTAGTGAGCACGAACTAATAGTAACATAGAGTTACAAGGTTAACGTAAAAGATGTTCTGTGATGGTAGGTGCCCCCATTTCTTCAGAGAAGAAGAATGGCAAAAATGATTCATTAGGAGGAAAAAATTCGTAATGAGGGAATCCTTACCATGCAGCCAGAACCATAACGAAGGAGGAGGTAGAGGCCCATATAATCATGAAATGTGGAAGGAAAAGCCATTGACTGTGAAGTTTGGACAAAAGGCTTAAATAGGAAAATTTGAAAAAGGTCCACAAGTGTGCCATCTTTACCTGCATATACTCTGGTAAAGAGGCTGATTAGCTCCTTGTCTAAATGTTATCCCATAACCAGTTGTAGAGAATGCGTCCACAGAAATAAGAACTGGAGGAAAAGAGAAAGGATGGCATTATATGAGGGAACCAGTATGACCACTTTGTATTACACCACAACCACCTTTCATGTTTCTCCTTCCCTTTTTTTTATACTCTGTTTATATCTGCAGCTGATAAGGGAATTAAAATTCAGCCACTGCAAAGGCATGATAGCCAAGTTACTGTACAACTCGGTACTGTACTTACAGCCGGAGTGGTGTACGCTGCGTGGAGGGCTTTCTAGTAGCTGCGGATGCTTTACACTGCATGTCAACATTGTCACCCATTCACACACCACTTCATACGCAGGTGATGGCACGAGCACTGGGGAGGCAAATATGGGGTTTAGTAACGTTGGTCCTAACGTGAGTAAAGCCAGTTACTAACAAGTGCAAGGCTGCAACAACCACTATAATGGGAGAAATC